TAGGGTGCTCTGTGGGTACCTCTGCCCCCCCCAGGGGTCTGTGGGGGTCTGTAGGGTCTCTAGGGTGCTCTATGGGTGTCCCTGTCCCCCCCAGGGGTCTATAGGGTCTGTAGGGTCTGTAGGGTGCTCTATGGGTGTCCCTGTCCCCCCCCAGGGGTCTGTGGGGGTCTATAGGGTCTGTAGAGTGCTCTATGGGTGTCCCTGTCCCCCCCAGGGGTCTCTGGGGGTCTGTAGGGTCTCTAGGGTGCCCCTGTCCCCCCCAGGGGTCTGTAGGGTCTGTAGGGTGCTCTATGGGTGCCCCTGTCCCCCCAGGGGTCTGTGGGGGTCTGTAGGGTCTGTAGGGTGCTCTATAGATGTCCCTGTCCTCCCCAAGGGTCTGTGGGGGTGTCCCCCCAGGGTCTGTCCCTGCTGACCCATCTGCTGTCGGCGCTGGCCGGGGGGCGGCTGCTCGGGGTGCTGCAGGTACGGGGGATGGGGGGGCTCTATAGGGGCTGTGGGGGGTTGGAGGGGCTCTATGGGGGCTGTAGGGGGGCTATGGGGGTTGGGGGGCTCTATGGGGGCTGTAAAGGGGGCATGGGGGTGTATGGGAGCTATAGGGGCTGGGGGCTATGGGGGTGGGGTCTCTAGGGGCGGTGGGGCTCTAGCGGGTTATAGGAGGGTTATTGGGGCTGTTTGGTGGGGGTGGGGGGGCCATAGGTGCTTTAGGGGGCTTTGGGGGCTGTAGGGGGCTGTTTGGGGGCTCTGGGGGCTGTTTGGGGGAGCTCTGGGGGCTGTAGGGGCTGTTTGGGGGCTCTGGGGGCTGTTTGGGGAGCTCTGGGGGGCTGTTTGGGGAGGCTATGGGGGCTGTTTGGGAGGCTATGGGGGCTGTAGGGTGCTTTTAGGGGGCTGTGGGAGATTTAGGGGCTGTTTTGGGGGTCCTGTGGCTCCAGGGGTCCCCCTGTGACCCCCTCTCTCCACAGGGGGCCGGATTTGGGGCGTCCCTGGGGGTGGGCGCCGTCCTGAGAACTCTGCTGGGGACCCCGGGACCCCGGACTCATCGCCCCCACCCCCAGGTGAGGGGGCTTTGGGAGGTTTGGGGGTGGGAGGTTTGAGGGGGCTTTGAAGGGTTTGGGGGCTTCAAGTTGCGGGTAGTTGAGGTTTGGGGGCAGGAGGGATTTGGGGAGGTTTGAGGGTGGTCTGGGGGATTTTGGGGGTGTGAAGTTTAGGGGGGATTTTGAGGGGGATGTGAAGTTTAGGGGGGATTTTGAGGGGGTGTGAAGTTTAGGGGGGTTTGAGGGGGTGTGACGTTTAGGGGTGTTTGGGGGGATTTTGGAGGGATGGGAGGTTTGAGGATGTTCTGGGGGGATTTTGGGGGGATTTTGAGGGGGATGTGAAGTTTTGGGGGGGATTTTGAGGGGGAGGGGAGGTTTGAGGGTGTTCTGGGGTGCCCAGGGGATTTTTGCGGGGGGGCTTCAGGTTGAGGGTTGAGTTTGTGGGAGTGTTTAGGGGCTCTGGGGAGCCTTGGGTGGAGTTTGAGGGATATTTGAGGAGGCTGATTTTTGGGGGGTATTTTTGGGGGGCTAAAACTGTTTGGGGGGGGGCTTTGAGGGGATTTTGAGGCGACTGGAGGGGGCTGGGGGAGCCTCAAAGGGGTTGAGGGAGCTTGGGGGGCTCGTGGAGGGTCTGGGGGTGTCCCCAGCTCCTCCACCAAGACCCCAAAATCCCCCCCAGTGGCCTGGCCAGCATCGCCCGCACCCTGAGCGTCCAGCAGCGCTTCTGGAGCTGCCTGCGCAGCCTCGGTGAGGGGGGGCCCCAAATGGGGGGGGGACACCCCAAAATCCCGGGGAGAATCCTTTGAACCCCCTGAAACTCGAAAAGAGGCGTTGGGGGACACTCTAGGCCCCGTTGCTAAGGTGGCCATCTTGGTTGCTAGGGCGCCATTTTGGCTCCCTTTAGGGACCCTCAAAAAGTCCCTTCAGGGACCACCAAAATGCCCTCAAGGATCCCCAACGCCTTCTTCAGGGCCCAGGGACCCCAAAACCCCATGAGGGCCCTTTGAACCCCCCGAAAACTCAAGGGGAGGCTTTGGGGGTCAGACTAGACCCCGTTGCTAGGGTGGCCATGTTGGTTGCTAGGGTGCCATCTTGGCTCCCCTCAGGGCCCCTCAAAATCGCCTCAAGGAACAACCAAATCCCCTTGAGGATCCTGAAAACCTACTTCAAGGATCCTCAAAATCCTGGGAGTACCTTTTGGAGTACTCTCAAAAGTCAAAAGGAGGCTTTGGGTGACACTTTAGGCTCTGTTGCTAAGGCACTGTCTTGGTTGCTAGGGCGCCATCTTGGTTCCCATTAGGGGCCCTCCAAATGTCCTTTCAGGGACCCCCCCAAATCCCCTCGAGGATCCCCAAGACCTTCCTCAGAGAACCCAAAATCCCATGAGAACCCTTTAAATCCCCCAAAACTCAAGAGGAGGCTTTTGGGGGATACTCTAGGTCCCGTTTTTGGGACGCCACATTGGTTGCTGGGGCGCCATCTTGGCTCCCTTCAGGGCCCCTCAAAAACTCCCTTCAATGCCCCCACCAAATCCCCTCGAGGATCCCCAACACCTTCTTCAGGGCCCAGGGACCCCAAAGCCCCGTGAGGGTCCTTTGAACCCCCTGAAAACTCAAGGGGAGGCTTTGGGGGTCAGACTAGACCCCGTTGCTAGGGTGGCCATGTTGGTTGCTAGGGCGACCATCTTGGCTCCCCTCAGGGCCCCTCAAAATCGCCTCAAGGAGCAACCAAATCCCCTCGAGGATCCCGAAAACCTACTTCAAGGATCCTCAAAATCCTGGGAGTACCTTTTGAAGTACTCTCAAAAGTCAAAAGGAGGCTTTGGGTGACACTTTAGGCTCTGTTGCTAAGGCACTGTCTCAGTTGCTAGGGCGCCATCTTGGTTCCCATTAGGGACCCTCAAAATGTCCCTTCAGGGACCCCCCCAAATCCCCTCGAGGATCCCCAAGACCTTCTTCAGAGAACCCAAAATCCCATGAGAACCCTTTAAATCCCCCAAAACTCAAGAGGAGGCTTTGGGGGATGCTCTAGATCCCATTTTTGGGGTGCCACATTGGTTGCTGGGGCGCCATCTTGGCTCCCCTTAGGGCCCCTCAAAAACTCCCTTCAATGCCCCCACCAAATCCCCTCGAGGATCCCCAAGATGTTCTTCAGGGCCCAGGGACCCCAAAACCCCGTGAGGGCCCTTTGAACCCCCCGAAAACTCAAGGGGAGGCTTTGGGGGTCAGACTAGACCCCGTTGCTAGGGCACCATCTTGGTTGCTAGGGCGCCATCTTGGCTCCCCTCAGGGCCCCTCAAAATTGCCTCAAGGACCACCCAAATGCCCTCAAGGATCCCCAAATCCAACTTCAAGGATTCTCAAAATCCTGGGATGATCTTCTGCATCCTCTTCAAAAGTCAAGAGCAGGCTTTGGGGGACATTCTGGGTCCCACTTAGCAATCTAAGGCAGCATCTTGGTTGCTCGGGCGCCATCTTGGCTCCCTTCAGGGCCCCTCAAAAACTCCATTCAATGCCCCCACCAAATCCCCTCGAGGATCCCCAACACCTTCTTTAGAGTCCAGGGACCCCAAAGCCCCGTGAGGGCCCTTTGAACCCCCTGAAAACTCAAGGGAGGTTTTAGGGGTCAGACTAGACCCCGTTGCTAGGGTGGCCATGTTGGTTGCTAGGGCGCCATCTTGGCTCCCCTCAGGGCCTCCCCCCCCCCAAAATCCCCTCAGGGACCCCCCCAAAAAGGGGGGCAGGGACATATTTTGGACCCCCCCTTGAGGTGCCCCCTCACAGAGCTCGAGGAGGAAGAAGAGGATGAGGAACAGGACGAGGAAGAGGAAGAAGAACCAGAGCCAGAAGTGGGGGAGGAAGAGGAACAGGAGGAGGAGGAGGAGGAGGAGGAAGAGCCTGAGGGGGATGGAGCCCCCCCGGAGCCCCCCCTGGGGATCCCTCCGAGACTCCTGGGCCCCCGAGTGGGGCTGGTTTATGACCCCCGGATGGAGGAGCACAGGAACACCTGGGACAGGTGAGGGGAGTGCTGGAATTTGGGGGCCCTGAGGGGGTTTGGGGCCTGAGGGTGCCTGGGATCCTGAGGGAATTTGGGGTCCTGAGTTTTGGGGCTAATTTTGGGGGTTGGGGTATTTTAGAGGCACAACCAGCACCCTGAGATCCCCGCAGTGCCTGCCCTGGGGGGGTTGGTTTGGGGGTTATTTTGGGGTGTATTTGGGGGTTCTTTTGGGTTTATTTTGTGTTAATTTGTGGTGTTCTGGGCGCAGCCAGCACCCCGAGTCCCCGCAGTGCTTGCCCCAGGGGGGTTGGTTTGGGGGTTAATTTGGGGGTTGATTTGGGATTGATTTGGGGGTTATTTGGGATGTAATTTGGGGTTGATTTGGGCGTTATTTTGGAGTTAATTTGGGGGTTATTGTAGATTAATTTTGGTGTTATTTTGGGTTGATTTTGGGTTAATTTTTCATGTTTTGGGCGCAGCCAGCACCCCGAGTCCCCGCAGCGCCTGCCCCGGGGGGGTTGGTTTGGGGGTTATTTTGGGGGTTATTTGGGGGTTATTTGGGATGTATTTGGAGTTAATTTGGGGAGTTATTTTGGTTTGTATTTGGGGGTTATTTTGGGTTAATTTTGGGTTAATTTGTCATGTTCTGGGCACAGCCAGCACCCCGAGTCCCCACAGCGCCTGCCCCGGGGGGGTTGGTTTGGGGGTTGGTTTGGGGGTTAATTTGGGGGTTATTTTGGGTTAATTTTGGGTTAATTTTTGGTGTTCTGGGCACAGCCAGCACCCCGAGTGCCCGCAGCGCCTGCCCCGAGGGGGTTGGTTTGGGGGTTGGTTTGGGGGTTATTTTGGGTTGATTTGGGGTTATTTGGGGTGTAATTTGGGGTTGTTTTGGGGGTTATTTTGGGGTGTATTTGGGGGTTATTTTGGGGTGTATTTGGGGGTTATTTTGGGATTGATTTGGGGGTTATTTTGTGTTAATTTGTGGTGTTTTGGGCACAGCCAGCACCCCGAGTCCCCGCAGCGCCTGCCCCGGGGGGGTTGGTTTGGGGGTTATTTTGGGGGTTATTTGGGGTTATTTTGGGTTAATTTAGGGTTAATTTTGGGTTAATGTTTTGGGCACAGCACAGCCAGCACCCCGAGTCCCCGCAGCGCCTGCCCCGGGTGCTGCAGCGCCTGCAGGAGTTGGGGCTCGCCCAGCGCTGTCTGAGGGTGCCCCCCAGACCCGCCCCCCCCCGGGCCCTGCGCGCCGTCCACACGTGAGGGGGGACCCACGGGGGGGCCCGTGGGCTGGGGGCGGGGAGGGCCTGGGGGTTGGGGTGCAGGGGGTCTCTGTGGGGTGGGGGGCTGTGGGGTCCCAGGGGTCCCCGCCTCCCCATGCCCCTCCCTGCACCCCTGGGAGCTGTGGGGGAGGGTTTGGGGGGCTCTGTGGGAGGTTTGGGGGCATTTGGTGGTTCCTGACGGGGGGTTTTGGGAGGGTCCGTGATGGGGGGGCTCCCTGACAGGGGATTTGGGGGGAATCTGGGGGATCCTGCCGGGGTTTTTGGGGGTCCCAGACCTGTGTGTCCCCCCCAGCCATGCCCACGTGCAGACCCTGTCCCAGACCCCTTCCCTGTGCCCCTGGGAGCTGGGAGGGGGTTTGGGGGGGTTTATGGGTGATTTTGGTGGGTGTTTGGGGGTCCCTGACCCCCCCCCGTATCCCCCCCAGCCGTGCCCACGTGCAGACCCTGTCCCGGACCCCCATCCTTAATCCTTGGGAGCTGGGGGGCTTTGGGGTGTCTGGGTGAGGTTTGGGGTGATGGGGTGTGTTTTTGGGGGTCCCTGACTCCCCCCTTTCCCCCCCAGCCGTGCCCACGTGCAGACCCTGTCCTGGACCCTCACCCTGCATCCCCGGGAACTGTGGGGGTTTGGGGTGATGGGGTGGGTTTTTGGGGGTCCCTGACCTGTGTGTCCCCCCCAACCGTGCCCACGTGCAGACTCCTGTCCCGGACCCCATCCCTGCAGCCCTGGGAGCTGGGGGGGGGTTGGGGGTCTGTGTGAGATTTGGGGGTCTGTGTGAGGTTTGGGGTGATAGGGTGGATGTTGGGGTCCCTGTCTCCCCTCCCAACCGTGCCCACGTGCAGACCCTGTCCTGGACCCCCATCCCTGTGCCCCTGGGAGCTGGGAGGCTTGGGGGTGGGTTTTTGGGGGTCCCTGACCTGTGTCCTTCCCCCTAGCCGTGCCCACGTGCAGACGCTGTCCTGGACCCTCACCCTGCATCCCTGGGAGCTGTGGGGGGGGTTTGGGGTGATGGGGTGGGTTTTTGGGGGTCCCTGACCCCCTCCATGTCCCCCCCAGCCGTGCCCACGTGCAGACCCTGTCCTGGACCCCCACCCTGCATCCCTGGGAGCTGGGAGGGGGTTTGGGGTGATGGGGTGTGTTTTGGGGGTCCCTGACTCCCCCCTGTGTCCCCCCCAGCCGTGCCCACGTGCAGACCCTGTCCTAGACCCCACCCTGCAGCCCCGGGAGCTGTGGATGGTCTGGGTGTCTGGGTGAGGTTTGGGGTGATGGGGTGGGTTTTTGGGGGTCCCTGACTCCCCTCCATGTCCCCCCCAGCCGTGCCCACGTGCAGACCCTGTCCTGGACCCCCACCCTGCATCCCTGGGAGCTGGGGGTTTTGGGGTGTCTGGGTGAGGTTTGGGGGTGTCTGGGTGAGGTTTGGGGTGATGGGGTGGGTTTTTGGGAGTCCCTGACCCCCTCCATGTCCCCCCAGCCGTGCCCACGCAGCAGACGCTGTCCCAGACCCCATCCCTGCGTCCCTGGGAGCTGTGGGGGCTTGGGGTGTCTGGGTGAGGTTTGGGGGTCTCTGACTCCTCTGTGTCCCCCAGCCGTGCCCATGTGCAGACGCTGTCCCGGACCCCCTCCCTGTGGCCCTGGGAGCTGGGTGGGGTTTGGAGGGTTGGTTTTTGAGGGTCCCTGACTCCCCCCTGTGTCCCCCCCAGCCGTGCCCACGTGCAGACGCTGTCCCAGACCCCGTCCCTGCGGCCCCGGGAGCTGCGGGCGCTGTCCCAGCGCTACAACAGCCTCTACCTGTGCCCACAGTCCCACCCCTGTGCCCGCCTGGCCGCGGGGGGCCTGCGAGGCCGTCACGGCCGTCATCAGGGGACAGGTGGGACATGGGGGACATGGGGACATGGGGGGCAGGTGAGACATGCGGGGACATGGGGGACAGGGGGACATGGGGGACAGGTGGGACATGGGGGACATGGGGGGACATGGGGGACATGGGGGACATGGGGACATGGGGTGCCTGCGAGGCCGTCAGTGCCGTCATCAGGGGACAGGTGGGACATGGGGACATGGGGGACATGGGGGACATGGGGGTTATGGGGACATGGGACATGGGGGCTCAGGGGGACATGGACGGGGCCTGCGAGGCCGCCAGTGCTGTCATCAGGGGACAGGTGGGACATGGGCGGGCTATGGGGACATGGTGAGACATGGGGGGGTCACAGGGACATGGGGAGACATGGGGACAGGGGCGGGGCCTGCAAGGCCATCAGTGCTGTCATCAGGGGACAGGTGGGACACAGGGGGGTCACAGGGACATGGGGGGGTCACAGGGACATGGGGAGATCAGGGGGACACGAGGGGGATCCCAGGGAGGGGATCGTAGGATGGGATTGGGGGAGTGGTCCCCGCGTATCCCTGAGGTTCCCAGTGGGGTTTGGGGATCCCTGGGGGGTTCTGTGGATCCCTGTGGGGTTTGGGGGTCCCCATGACCCCCCCATGTCCCCCCAGGTTCACTCTGCCCTGGCCGTGCTGCGCCCCCCCAGCCACCACGCCCGCCGGGGGTCCCTGGGGGGTTTGGGGGTCCCTGCGGGGCTTTTGGGCCCTGTGGGGTCTGCCTGTGGGCTTTGGGGTCTCTGTGGGGTTTGGGGGTCCCCATGACCCCCCCGTGCCCCCCCAGGTTCACTCCACCCTGGCCGTGCTGCACCCCCCTGGCCATGGGGTTTGGGGGGGTCCCTATGGGGTTCTGCGGATCCCTATGGGATCTGGGGGGTCCCATTGGGGTTTGGGGGGTCCCTATGGGGTTTTGGGGGTCTCTGTGGGGTTCTGTGGATCCCTATGGGGTCCCTGAGCCCCCCTGACCCCCCTTGCCCCCCCAGGTTCGCTCTGCCCTGGCCATGCTGCGCCCCCCAGGCCACCACGCCCGCCGGGGGTCCGCGGGGGGTTTGGGGGGGTCCCAATGGTGTTTGGGGGTCCCCCTGACCCCCTTGCCCCCCAGGTCTCGCGCCTGCCCTGGCCATGCTGCGCTCCCAGGCCACCACGCGCCGCCGGGGTCCGCGGGGGTTTGGGGGTCCTAATGGTTTGGGTCTCCCCTGACCCTTGCCCCCCAGGTTCGCTTCTGCCCTGGCTATGCTGCGCCCCCAGGCCACCAACACCTGGCCGGGGGTCCGCGGGGGTTTGGGGGGTCCCTATGGGGTTTGGGTCTCTTGAGCCCCCTGACCCCCCTGTCCCCCCAGGTTCGCTCTGCCCTGGTCGTGCTGCGCCCCCCAGGCCACCACGCCTGCCGGGGGTCCGCGGGGGGTTTAGGGGGTCCCTATGGGGTTTGGGGGTCTCTGTGGGGTTTGGGGGGTCCCTATGGGGTTTTGGGGTCCCTATGGGGTTTGAGAGTCCCCCTGTGACCCCCAGGTTCGCTCTGCCCTGGCCGTGCTGCGCCCCCCCGGCCACCACGCCTGCCAGGGGTCCGTGGGGTTTGGGGATCCCTATGGGATCTGGGGTCACAGGGGGTTTTTGAGGATCCCTATGGGGTTTGGGGTTCCTGAGCCCTCTGTCCCCCAGGTCCGCTCTGCCCTGGCCGTGCTGGCGCCCCTAGGCCACCACACCCGCCGGGGGTCCGCGGGGTTTCTGCCTCTTCAACAACGTGGGGTGGCCGCCGACACGCCCAGCGCCTGGCTGGGACCCCCTCAGGTACGGGGGCTGGGGGCACGGGGGTCAGGGGACTCAGACTCTCAACACTCTCACCCCACCCCCCAGGGTGCTGATCGTGACTGGGACGCTCACCACGGGAACGGCACCCAGGAGATCTTCGAGGACGACCCCAGGTGGGCAGGGGGGCTTTGGGGGCTTTGGTGGGGCTGGGGGCTTTGGGGGAGTCCAGGGGTTGATTTGGGGTACTGGGGAGGGGCCTGGGGGATTTTAGGGGTCTGGAGGCTTTGAGGGGGTCTGGGGGCACTGGGGGTCTCAGGGGGCTGGAGGGGCTTTGGGGGGTACTGGGGGATTGGGGGATTTAGGGGGTCTAGAGGGCTTTGAGGGGTCTTGGGGGCATTGGGGGTCTCAGGGGCTGGAGGGGCTTAGGGAGGTCTTTGGGGTACTGGGGAGGAGCCTGGGGGCTGGAGGGATTTTAGGGGGCTGGAGGGGCTTTGGGGGTCCTGGGGCTATTTGGGTATTGGGAGAGGGTTCTGGGGAGACTGGGGGTATCTTTCCGGGGGCTGAGGGGCTTTGGGGGATTCTGGGGTCTTTGGGGTACTGGGGAAGGGTCCTGGGGGATTGAGGATTTTATGGGGGCTGGAGGGGCTCTGGGGGCCTGGGGGTATTTGGGGTCTGGGGGGGTGTCCTGGTGGTCCCTGACCCCCCTTTATCCCCCCAGTGTCCTGTACGTGTCCCTGCCCTGCTCTGGGGGGATTCCAGGGGTTATTCTGGGGTCTCAGAGGGGTCCCTGACCCCCCCCATTTCCCCTCCCAGTGTCCTGTACGTGTCCCTGCCCTGCTCTGGGGGTCTCTGGGGGTCTCAGGGGTTATTTTGGGGTCCCAGGGGGTCTCAGGGGTTATTTTGGGGTCCCTGACCCCCCCATTTCCCCCCCCAGTGTCCTGTACGTGTCCCTGCACAACTCTGGGGGTCTCAGGGGGTCTCAGGGGTTATTTTGGGGTCTCAGGGGTTATTTTGGGGTCCCAGGGGTTATTTTGGGGTCTCAGGGGGTCTCAGAGGGGTCCCTGGTGGTCCCTGACCCCCCCCTCTCCCCTCCCCCAGTGTCCTGTACGTGTCCCTGCCCTGCTCTGGGGGTCTCAGGGGTTATTTTGGGGTCTCAGGAGGTCCTAGGGGTATTTTGGGGGTCCTTGACCTCTATTTCCCCCAGTGTCCTGTACGTGTCCCTGGCCCTTCTTTGGGGTCCTAGGGTTATTTCAGGTCCCTGACTCCCTGTCCCCCCAGTGTCCTGTACGTGTCCCTGCCCTTCTTTGGGGGTCCCAGGGGTTATTTTGGGGTCTCAGAGGGGTCCCTGACCCCCCTGTCCCCCCCAGTGTCCTGTACGTGTCCCTGCACCGCCACGACGGCTCCTTCTTCCCGGGGGGCTCGGGGGGGTCCCCGCGGCGCCGGGGGAGGGGTCCCGGCACCGGCTTCACCCTCAACGTGGGCTGGGGGGGGCCCAGGGTGGGGGACCCCGAGTACCTGCTGGCCATGACCCGCCTCGTGCTGCCCGTGGCCTGCCAGGTGGGCATGGGGGGCATTTGGGGGCTGGGGCATTTGGGGGCCTGGGGGAGTTTGGGGGTCCTGGGGGATTTATGGGGGATTTGTGGGGGATTTAGAGTCCTAGGGGGCTTTGGGAGCTTCTGAGGAGGCTTGGGGGCTTTGGAGGATTTGGGGGTCCTGGGGGATTTGGGGGCTTTGAGGATCTTGGGGCTTGGAGGATCTGGGGTTGGGGGAATTAGGGTCCTGGGGGTATTTGGGGGTTCTGAGGAGGCTTGGGGGTCCTGGGGGATTTGGGGGTTTGGAGGGGATTTGGGGGCTGGGGGCATTTGAGGGGTCCTGGGGTGTTTGGGGGTCCTGGGGGATTTGGGTGGTCCGGGGTGGGGGCTTTGGGGGTCCTTGGGGGCTTTGGGGGTTTCTGAGGAGGTCTGTGGGGGGCTTTTGGAGGGGTCCTGGGGGATTTGGGGGTCCTGGGGGCTTTAGGGTGGGGTTGGGGGGTTTGGAGGAGTCCGGGGGATTTGGGGGTCCTGAGGGGGCTTTGGGAGGTCCTAGGGTGGTTTTGGGGTGGTTTGGGGGTCCTGGGGTGATTTGGTGGGGTTTGGGGGGGTCCTGGGGTAGTTTGGTGGGGATTTTGGGGGTCCTGGGTTGAGGGGGGTTTGGGGCTCCTGGGGTGGTTTGGGGGACCTAGGGGTTTGGGGGTCCTGGGTGGCTTTGGGGTGTCCTGGGGGATTTGGGGTGGGGGTTTGGGGGTCCTGGGGTGGTTTGGGGGGCTTGGGGGCTCCTGGGTCTGAGGGCGGGTTTTGGGGGTCCTGGGGTGGTTTTGGGGGGTGTCGGGAGGTCCTGGGGTGGTTTGAGGGGTGCTGGGGTGGCTTGGGGGGAATTTGGGGGTCCTGGGGCAGCTTTGGGGGTCCTGGGGTGGTCTGGGGGTCCAGGGGTGATTTGGAGGTGGTTTTGGGGTCCTGGGGTGAGGGGGTAGTTTTGGGGGTCCTGGGTGGTTTTGTGGTGGGTTTTTGGGGGTCCTGGGGTGGTTTTGGGGGCTGGGGGTCCTGGGGTGTTTTGGGGGCTTTGGGGGTCCTGGGGTGGCTTGGGGGATCCTGGGTGGTTTGTGGGGTTCTGGGGGTCCTGGGGTGGTTTGGGGGTGGTTTGGGGGTCCTGGGGTGGTTTTGGTGGGGCTTTGAGGGTCCAGGGGTGGTTTTGGGGGCTTTTGGGGGATCCTGGGGGCTTTGGGGCTCTGGCTTGAGGGGGTTTTGGGGTGCTGAGGGTGGTTTTGGGTGGGGCTTTGGGGGTCCTGGGGTGGTTTTGGGGTGGGCTTTGGGGGTCCTGGGGTGGTTTTGGGGTGGTTTTGGGTGGTCCTGGTGTGAGGGGGTCCATAACCTCCACGCCCCCTGTGCCCCCAGCTTGCTCCGGAGCTGGTTCTGGTCTCGGCCGGGTCCGATGCGGGCCGGGGACCCCCTGGGGTAGCTTGTGTCCCCCCAGACCTGGGCTCATGACCCACCTGCTGGGGCGCTGGCGGGGCGGCTCGTCCTCGTGCTCTGAGGTCAGGGCTGGGGCCTGGGGGCTCGGGGCTGGGGGTCCTTGGGAGGGGTTTGGGGTCATTATTGGGGGTTTTGGGGATCCCTGGGAGGTTTGGGGGTCCCTGGGGAGGGGCTTGGGGTCATTATTGGGGTTTTGGGGATCCCTGGGAGGTTTGGGGGTCCTGGGGAGGGGTTTGGGGTCATTATTGGGGGCCTGGGGCATCGTGGGGTTAGGGGTCCTTGAGAGGGTTTGGGGTCATTATTGGGGGTTTGGGGGTCCCTGGGGGTTTGGGGCATTACTGGGGGTTTGGGGGATCCTTGGGGAGGCTCGGGTCCTTGAGGGGGTCTTGGGGTCCTTAATGGTGGGTTGGGAGGTCCCTTGGGGGTTTAGGTCATTATTGGGGGCTTGGGTTCCTTACTGGGGTTTTGGGGTCCTTATTGGGGGTTTTAGGGTCCTTACTGGGGTCTGAGGGGGTTTTGGGGTCCCTATTGGGGGTTGGGGGTCCATGGGGGGTTTGGGGTCATTATTGGGGGCTGAGGGGGTCCCTTGGGAGGGGTTTGGGGTCCTTGTGGTTTTTGGGGTTCTTATTGGGGGTTTTGGGGTCATTATTGGGGTTGGGGGTCCTATTGGGGGTTTTGGGGTCTCTGGGGGTCTTGGGGTCCCTATTGGGGGTTGGGGGTCCTCACTGGGGTCTGAGGGACCCTGGGGGTCTTGGGAGGGGTTTTTGGGGTCCTTACTGGGGACTTGGGTCCCTGACTAGGGTTTTGGGGTCCTTATTAGGTTTTTTGGGGTCTCTATTGGGGGTTTGGAGGATCTTGGGTTCCTATTTAGGGTTTTGGGGGTCCCAGGGGGCTTGGAGGAGCCCTTGGGGGTCTTGGGGTCCCTGTTGGGAGGTTGGGGGTCCCGGGGAGGGGGCTGGGGTCCTTTCTTTAGGGCTTGGGGCCCCATAGGGGGCCTGGTCCCTATTTGGGGGGACCTTTAGGGTTTGGGGGTCCCCATTTGGGGGTGGGAGATTGGGGGGTCCTTTGGGGGGTTCCCTATGGAGGGTGGGTGGTCCCTATTTGGGGGTGGGAGATTTGGGGGTCCCTTTGAGGGGTTTGGGGGTCTCCCATTGGGGGCGGTGCCTGTGTGGGGGTCACTGTGGGGGTGTTCTGGGGTCTCTGGGGGTCTCTGACTGAGGGGGGTCCCCACAGGGCGGGCACAACCTGGGGTGATGGCGGAGGGGTGGGGCAGTGCCTGGGGTCCTGCTGGGAGACTCCCCACGCTGCCCCCCCTGGGGACCCCCAACCCACAGCCCTGAGAGCCCTGGGCAGGACCCTGAGAGCCCACCGGGGGTCCTGGAGCTGCCTGAGGCTGCCCAGGGGTGAGACCCCCCCCAAAACACCCCCAAAAACATCCCTGGGACCCCCAAACACCCCCTGGGACCCCCAAACACCCCCTGGGACCCCCAAACATCCCCAAAACCCCCCGGGACCCCCAAACCCTGAGAGCCCACTCGGGGTCCTGGAGCTGCCTGAGGGCTGCCCAGGGGTGAGACCCCCAAAATAACCCCACAAACATCCCTGGGACCCCTAAAAACATCTCTGGGACTCCCCAAAACATCCCTGGGACCCCCAAACCCCTGAGAGCCCACCGGGGGTCCTGGAGCTGCCTGAGGCTGCCCAGGGGTGAGACCCCCAAAACACCCCTAAAACATCCCTGGGACCCCAAAAACATCCCTGGGACTCCAAACATCCCCTGGGACCCCCAAAGCCTCCCATGGGACCCCTAAAAACCTCACCTGTGACCCCCAAAACCCCTGAGAGCCCACCGGGGGTCCTGGAGGTGCCTGAGGCTGCCCAGGGGTGAGACCCCCCAAAACACCCCCCAAAACCTCCCTAGGACCCCCAAACCCCCTGGGACCCCCCAAAACAGCCCCAACCTCCCCAGACCCCAAACATCCCCCAAAACCCCCTCATGGGACCCCAAAACCCCGACACAAGACACCCTCCCCCAGAGACCCCAAAACCCAGCCTGGCCCCACAGGGACCCCAAAGAGGGACCTCCAAACCCCAAAGAGGACCCCAGACCCTCCCCAGGACCCTCCAGACCCCAAAGAGGGACCCCCAGACCCCCCCAATCCCAGTCACCCCAAAGTCCCCCTAAAATCTCCCCCTCCCCTCCCCCCAGTTCCCAAACCAACCTCCCCCCCTCACAGTTGAGCCCCTCCCGGCGCCCCCCAAGGTGGAGGAGGGCGCCGATGACGTCACGCCCGCTGCCGATGACGTCACGCCCGCTGCCGATGACGTCACCGAGGCCACCATCGGCCGCTTGGGGGCGCTGCAGCTCCAAGACCCTCCTGGGGCGGGGCCGAGGCCGAGGGGCGGGGCTCTACAAGACCCCGCCCCTGTGGGCGGGGCCGAGGCCGGGGCTGGTGCTGCCCCCTGCTGGGGGGAGGACGAGGAGCTGGAGGAGGTAAAAGGGGGATTTTTGGGGGATTTTGGGTCCTGAGGGGTTTGGGGGTGGGGGTCTCATCTCAGGCCTTCAACACGTCGGGGTCTCTCCTCCTGATTTTGGGCGTCCTTCACCCTCAGATTTTGGGGTCTCCCTGAAATGGTTTTGGGGTTCCCCTTCCTCAGATCTGGGGTTCTCTCCCCCCTGGGATTTTGGGGTCCCTCCCCCCTATATTTAGGGCTGTCCCCCTACATTTTAGGGTGTCCTCCCGGGATTTTGGGGTTTCTCCCCCTCGGGATTTTGAGGTTTCTTCTCCCCAGGATTTTGGGGATTCTCCCCTCCAGAATTTTGGGGTGTCCTCTCCCCACAAGACCATCATAACCCCCTCCCCAGATTCAGGGCTGCCCCCTGCATTTTAGGGTGCCCCTCGGGATTTTGGGGTCCCTCCCCTCACATTTAGGGCTCCCATCCCCAGATTTTGGGGATCCTGCCTCAGTTTTGGGTGCCCCACCCCACTCCACTGGGTTCTCTCCCCCGGATTCCCCCTCCCCACTCCGATTTCGGGGTCCCCCCTCCTTGGGTTTTGGGGGTGTTTTTCCCCTCAATTTGGGGTCTCAACCCCCCCAAAATTTGGGCTCCCCCCCCAACACGCTGTGGTTCCTCCGGGCCGCCAGGGGGCGCTGTTCGCGGTGACGCCGCTGCCGGAGTGTCCCCACCTGGGGGCCGTGGCCCTCCCCTCCCCCTGGGTCCTGGGGTCCTGACCTCTCTGCGGCACCTGCGGGAGCCGCCGCGAGAACTGGCTGTGCCTCAGCTGCTACCAGGTGACAAAAACACCCTGAAATACCCCAAAATCACCCCAAAATACCCCAAAAATCAGCTTCTGCACCCCAAAATACCCCTAAAACACCCCAAAATACCCCTAAAACACCCCAAAATAACCCTAAATACCCCACAACTGGCTGTGCCTCAGCTGCTACCAGGTGACAAAAACACCCCAAAAATCAGCTTCTGCACCCCAAAATACCCCCAAAACACCCTAAAAATCAGCTTTTGCGCCCCAAAATACCCCTAAAACACCCCAAAAATCAGCTTCTGCACCCCAAAACACCCCAAAAATCAGCTTCTGCACCCCAAAATACCCCTAAAACACCCCTAAATACCCCCAAAACACCCCAAAAACACCCCTAAATACCCCAAAAAACACCCCAAAATAACCCTAAATACCCCACAACTGGCTGTGCCTCAGCTGCTACCAGGTGACAAAAACACCCTGAAATATCCCAAAACACCCCAAAACCCCAAAAATCAGCTTCTGCACCCCAAAATACCCCAAAATCACCCCAAAATACCCCAAAAATCAGCTTCTGCACCCCAAAATACCCCTAAAACACCCCAAAATACCCCTAAAACACCCCAAAATACCCCAAAATGCCCTTAAATACCCTACAACTGACCCTGCCTCAAGCTGCACCAGGTGACAAAAACACCCTGAAATATCCCAAAACACCCCAAAATACCCCAAAAATCAGCTTCTGCACCCCAAAATACCCAAAAATACTCCTAAACCACCCCAAAATACCCCAAAAACACCCCTAAATACCCCTCAACTGGCTGTGCCTCAGCTGCTACCAGGTGACAATACACCCTGAAATACCCCAAAATGCACCCCAAAATACCCCAAAATCAGCTTCTGCACCCCAAAATACCCCTAAAACACCCCAAAAATCAGCTTCTGCACCCCAAAATACCCCTAAAACACCCCTAAATACCCCCAAAACACCCCAAAAACACCCCAAAATACCCCTAAATACCCCACAACTGGCTGTGCCTCAGCTGCTACCAGGTGACAAAAACACCCCAAAAATCAGCTTCTGCACCCCTAAATACCCCCAAAACACCCCAAAAATCAGCTTCTGCACCCCTAAATACCCCCAAAACACCCCAAAATACCCCAAAACCGCCCAAAATACTCCTAAATACCCCACAACTGGCTGTGCCTCAGTTGCTACCAGGTGACAAAAACACCCTGAAATATCCCAAAATCACCCCAAAATACCCCAAAAATCAGCTTCTGCGCCCCAAAATACCCCAAAATCACCCCAAAATACCCCAAAAATCAGCTTCTGCACCCCAAAATACCCCCAAAACACCCCAAAAATCAGCTTCTGCACCCCAAAATACTCCTAAAACACCCCAAAATACCCCCAAATCACCCACAACTGGCTGTGCCTCAGCTGCTACCAGGTGACAAAAACACCCTGAAATACCCCAAACTACCCCAAAATCACCCCAAAAATCAGCTTCTGTGCCCCAAAATACCCCTAAAACACCCTAAAATACTCCTAAAATACCCCAAAACCACCCCTAAATACCCCACAGCTGGCTGTGCCTCAGCTGCTACCAGGTGAGGAACCCCAAAACCACCCCAGATCACCCCAAAATACCCCTAAATCACCCCAAAAGTCATCTTTGACACCTCAAACCCCCTCAAAACTCCCCTCAAACTCCCTCAGACCCCCTCAACCCCCCAAACCCCTTAAATCCCCCCAAACCCCCTTTAACCACCCCCTCAAACCCCTCCAACCCCCCTCAAACCCCTCCAACCCCCCTCAAACCCCCTCAAACCCCTCTCAAACCCTTTCCAAACCCTCCCAAACCTCCTCAAACCCCTCCAAATCCCCTCTCAAACCCCTTCAACCCCCTCCAACCCACTCAAACCCCTCAGACCCCCTCAAACCCCTCCAAACCCCCCGAAATCTCCTCAACCCCCCAAACTTTCCTCAAAATGCCCCAAAACCCCTTCAAACCCCCTCAAACCCTGCTAAACCCTTTCAATCCCCTCTAAACCCCCTCAAACCCCCTAAACCCCCTCAAACTCCCCCCAACCCCCCCAAATCCCCTCTAGATCCTCCCCCAAACGCCCCCTCAAAGCCCTCTCCAAACCCCCAAACGCTCTCAAACCCCCTAAACCTCCTCAAACCCTCTCTCAAATCCCCTCAAACCCCCTAAATCTTCTGCAGACCCCCTCAAACCACCCTCAACTCCCTAAACCCTCCCAAATCCCTCAAACCCCTCCAAATACCCCTCAAACCCCGCTAAACCCTTTCAATCCCCTCTAAACCCTCTCAGACGCCCCCAAACCCTCCCTAAACCCCTCCAACCCCCCCAACTCCCTCAAACCCCCTAAACCCTTTCAATCCCCTCTAAACTCCCTCTAACCCCCTCAAACCCCCTAAACCCCCAGAAAAACCCCCTCAAGCTCCCCCAACCCCCCAAATCCCCTCTAGACCCCCAAACCCCTCCAAACCCCCTCAAACCCCTCCTAAACCCCCCAAGCTCCCTCAAACCCCCACAACCCCCCAAACCCCCTAAACCCCCTCAGACCCCCTTGGAACCCCCTAACCCCCCCTTGTTGCCCCCAGGTGCTGTGCGGGCGCTACGTGGGGGGGCACATGCTGGAGCACGGGGGTCTCGGGACACCCTGGTGCTGAGCCTGCAGGACCTGGCAGGCGTAGGTGCTACTCCTGCGGGGGTACGTCATGAACCAGGTGGGTCTGGGGGTCCTGGGGGGTCACAGGGGTCAGGGGGGTCAGAGGGTCACAGGGTCCTGGTGCTACCCCTGCGGGGGGTACGTCATGAACCAGGTGGGTCTGGGGGTCCTGAGGGGCTGGGGGTCCTGGGGGATCACAGGCGGCCTGGTGCTACCCCTGTGGGGTACGTCATGAACCAGGTGGGTTTGGGGGTCCTGGAGGTCACAGGGGTCAGGGTCACAGGGGTCAGGGGGCACAGGGTCAGGGAGGGGTCCGTGTCGCACCCCATGAGTTTTGGGAGGCTGGGGGTCACAGAGGTCAGGGGGTCAGGGAGGGGGCCCATGTCCCACCCCATGAGTTTTGGGGGTCAGGGGTCAGGAGAGGGGACCCGTGTCCCACCCCATGAGTTTTTGGGGGTCAGGAGAGGGGACCCGTGTCCCACCCCATGAGTTTTGGGGGTCAGGGAGGGGGCCCGTGTCCCACCCCATGAGTTTTTGGGGGCTGGGGGATCAGGGGTGCTGGACAGAACCATTTGGGGGTTGGAGGTGGAAAGTTGGGATGAACCATTTTGGAATTGGGGG